TTCGCGTACCCCCAGATATAATTTCACTTCAACTTTGTACCCCCAAAGTTGTTGGTGTATAATTCAAGTTATACATAGTTTATAATCTACATCTAAAATAAATAAAATAAATTACATTACTGATTATTCAGTGATTATCATAAAATAATATTAATTTTTTAAAATTTCACGTACCCCCTAAGATGTCTTCGCGTACCCCCAGATATAATTTCACTTCAACTTTGTACCCCCAAAGTTGTTGGTGTATAATTCAAGTTATACATAGTTTATAATCTACATCTAAAATAAATTAAATAAATTACATTACTGATTATTCAGTGTTTATCATAAAATAATATAATTTTGTTTTACTTTTACGTACCCCCTGAGATGTCGCGCGTACCCCAGGTTGAATACCACTGGTCTATGTCATTATTGGCATTCATGTTACATCCATTAACTTTCAGGTAGTGCATCTGGGACACAATGGAACATGTCATTATGGAGCAGGCTTCCAGTTTCATTGTGCCACAGTTTTAATAGCAATTTCTTATCTTAATTCTTCAAATGAAATTATGATATGCCACAATATTTAGTTTTCTGCATCTCGTATTTAAGAATGTGTATCAAAAATGAAGTGGAATTTAATTAGTGCTTTTTAATTACAGTGGAGCTACAGTTTTAAATTTAGACTAGTTATGTTTATTTTATACTCACAGGAGACAAATATCGTGCAAGATAGAGAAAGAGAATGTGTTAGGAGGAGTAAGTCTGAAGGTTTCTGACAATAGTGCTGTCATCTTGGACTTTTTCCATTGTTTAAATTATAAATAAATTTACAAAGTTTTGGAAAGAGAAGAGAAGAGGAGGGAAACTATCTGCTGGGTTTCCTGGTTGATCTAGCTCAGAAGTGGTTTCGGCAAAAGACTAGTGTTCTGCTGAGACGGTCATGTATCAGCCAGGCAATAGAACCATCATTTCAGGGGCTATCAGGCTCATTTGGTTTTGAAGTCCCGATTCGAATTTGTTATAGGGACTGATTCAAGCACAGATTGTTTATCTTGTTTGAGAGCTGCTGTCTGGAGTCTGTATACTGCTCCTTTGTGAGTGGAGAGAAACTGGCTGTTCCCCAAAGCTCACGTAGAAGAGCTGTTCCTGGCTGTCTTGCGATAGCTGAAACGGGACAGAAGAGACACGTCATGCCGTTCGCGAAGGCCAAAGGGTCCGGCGAACGACCCACTGGTCAATCCAGGTGAACAATAAATACGACTCTGAGGATGAGGAAATTGAAACGGGGGTGATTTACGCTTATTTTGATGCTAATGAAGAAGACGAATTAACGGAAACAAAATATTCTGAATTTTTTTTTAAGAATTAGAACCTTTGGAACGTGTTCTTGTTCAATTCGATATCCATGGAAAAAATACACTTTTTTACGTTTGAGAAATGATGTACTTCAAAGATAATAAGGACTAAAAATCAGTTTTATATTAAAAAGCAATGCTTTGAGGGATAAGTTCATGAAAACTGAAGACAGGTTATCAGCCCATTAAAAGCTGATAAAAATTGTTATCTCATAGCCATAATTTTCTGGACAGACGAAGGGGAAGAAAATAAACTTTTAATTTAGTATTAAATCTTTCCTTATCAGTATTAACCAAAGTATCGAGACTTTAAGCATCTTGCATTAAACATCCATTAATCATAGAAGTGAATTATTTCAATTATATTTTCAGATCATCTTAAATGTTTTTGGTTGTTATAAACCTAAAATGTATTAATTTTTAAAAAAATGAATAATTGATCAATGAGTTCATTATGACACGCACGCACACGAACAACCAAAGTTAAAATACGAGGGTGGGAATCGATAAAATCTCTGCAGAGAGGGTACCATTATACAAGGTTTGGAAACTACTGCATCTCCTTAAGATTTTTAAATTGATATTCGTATCATAACCTCATCATCTTTTTGGTTTACGATAACTTTAACAGGCACAGTCTTAGACGACTACAAACCTTTTTTTACAGGGCATCTTTCTGGCAGCAGTCTCGTGCAATATGCAAGTTGCAATCGCCTTTCCGTTTCCTTCATTCGATTATGTTGACATCATCACACATGAAAAATGGCCAATCAGAACGCAGGAACTTTCCCACTCGCCGAAGAGCTTATCAGTTCGTAGTTATCTGCGGTTGGTGTCAGCTGAGCTTGGTGTGGTAGAGGACCCGATTAGTGCGACTACAGTTATAATTGTACTGTGAACCGAGTGGTAATTATTAGACAGGGATATGTTGGTTGAAAGATCTAAATTATGTTACACGACAATCAGATAGTTGTGTTGACTATTTCTACAAAATTTCAAAGGTCGAAATAATATTTCCGGTTCGGTATGTTAACTGATTAACGTACTGATTAATCAAAATCACATAGCCAGCATTTGGTTGGTCTTGTTGGCTCCGTAATGCCAGTTGCTTAAGCCTCGTTCACGCTGGTCAACTTGTTTGAAAACGAAAATTTGAACGGACTTGCATCGCGTGAACTGTGTTTCAAGAATACGTTTCAAGTGTACTGGAAGTTATTGTTTAAAGTTTCAAGTAATGTATAAACTATTTCAGTGTTTTGATATAAAATGACTAGAATAACAACTTGAAAAATGTGTACTAATACTTGAATATCCTGTTTATTGGAACGTCTGAAAGCAGCTGTTTTTTATTTTGCTGGTGTTATTGAGAAGCAGATTGTAAGGCCATAGTTGTTTTCGTTAACAAAATTTGTTATTTTAAACGTTCTCAAAATATGTGACAAGGGGAGTTGTGACATTTGCACATTTCTGGAATGTACGAAAAATACGAAATGTAATGGGATTTTGAAAGCGGTATCACTACAGAAATTAGAGAGATTGAGGAATTAAGAAGTGACTTCAGAAAATCAAAATTGAAGGGTTAACTGCAGAATGTGTTTGAAAATAAATTATGATTATAAAAACAGTGCACAACCAGGAAATTAAAAATTAATAAGTCGAAGTGGAGTAACCACGGTTCACTGCAGTTAGCTGCACTTGCTTTCGTGAGGTTCCGTGTCTCACACTGAGGCATATGTATGAAGTCATCACCGTCATATAACTCTCAAAATAAACAACGATTATTTCCATAACATCAACTAGATGTTTGTAATGGATGATCCTTGTGTCATCTTCGAGACAGGAGCGATATCTGTAAGCATTTTGATGAATTTCATACTTCAATGGATGAAATCATTTATTCAGATCACCCCCGTACATTTCGGAACCGAATTATTTAGCCCTGTTGGACGCGGTACGAAGCTGGAGAAGGAAAAGCGATAGAGCTGATCAACAGGCCAGTGCTTATCGGGTGTACGAAATTATGGTTGCCTTGAAAATATTTGAAACTAGCAGTCTCCGCGGTCAGAAGCCAGCGGCGACCTACAAACAGCCTGTGCCCTACGACATGGGTACACAATCTGCCATTACTGAGTGATATTCACTTTTGGTAATATACCTGACAAATATTAAAGGAAATAAGCATGAAGACTTCGGAAGGAGAACAAAAGCGAATAAGGTCAATACTACGTTCTGAACAGGAGGTATATTTTCTCCTCTTTGCCACCACCCACATAAGATATTCCACATTCCTTCTTGGGCTAAAGATCTGGGTTCCCGAAGTGAACCTATTGCACTTTCATCACCCAAGGCACGCACCATCTAAACTACGGACTCTAAATGTTTCAGAGACCTGGAGTCATGTTCACCTTGTTGACTCGCGTGCCACCAATTTATATATGAGAAGAGTTCAATGAAAATATTATTGGCCAATGCTCGTTTTTCTGACAGTATCGATTACCAGTAAAATATTTGCGTTATTGATCTTTCACAGTATCAGGTTTAAGCTCTACCTTGAAGATGGAAACTGTACGCTCCTATGAAACATAAATAACCATCCATAAGACGATCGTGGTCTTATAGGTCGTGACACCGTGTGGAATTGCAGTTAAGATACCATCATTTCGGATGAACTTTCGCGTAGTTTTGTTGTGGCCTTTTCGAAGCATCGTGTCGCCTCCATCTTGAACCGTGAATATGCTTAATTATCTTTGTTGGGATTCGCCTCTCCGCTAATGTTAAACTGGACGGTTGTTCACAACCAACTGACGGTATTAAAAAAGTCGTGTTTTCTGATATCAAGTAAATATTACAAGAAATGTACGTTGGCCGAATAGAATACATCGGCGTGCCACTCCAATAAACGTTTGCAGAATTTTTCGAGATTATATTAAATAACAACCAAAACAATCTTTATAAAGCTTATTTAAGATGTACATGCAAGAGTTGTGAGGAGCAAAGGGATCTATCCCTTCAACGTGCAAATCTGATAAACGACCTTCCATTACTCATCTCCTTAGACACGCCCTTGCTAAGCGTAGTTAGCAGCAGGAAGAAAAATAACTCGTTTTATGGTAACATGAAATTTCACTGGGTCCAGCTGGCGCGGCTCGCGGGTAGGCAAGCCAGAGTTCACTGGTAGACACTTTTAAATTGAAAATTTGTGTATTTAAATACTGATGTATGAGTGAAATAGGAAATGTAAATTCAGTTGGGCAAGGCAGGGCAAACAGAACAATTAATCAATTGGTATGTTTCTTTGGTGTTATTTTGCTCAGAAGAACGAGGACAAAACACTCATTATTATCTATTATATGACCGGTTCTCTGTTTTAAAGAGGCCAAATTATGCTGCCTCAATTTAGGGTGGCGGGAGCTATAGTGTGATTTCTAAAACATCTGTGGTTGTTTTGTTTCCGATGTAGGTTGAAACAGAAATGGCGTCGCCTGATGGTCGCAACCTCATAAACCTGTTAGAATGCCCTTCGTGTCACCAGACGATGGCACTCCCTATTTTCTTGTGCGAAGCAGGCCACAATGTTTGCTACAGGTAAGATACTGTCCTCATCCACCTGAACCCTTTGAGCTTAACTCCATCAAGAAAAGCCCTTCCTGTAAAGGTAATATTCTCTCAGTAGAACAAGAAATTCTTCGTCTTTTGTGATTAGCATGTTCGCGAGACCCCCGCCATTGGTCTGATTTCCACAGTTAGTTTAATTCAGTCCACATCTCATACCTATCTTCTTTAAGATATATTTTAATATTATTATCTCACCCCTAGATCTTCAACTTCTACATGTATTTATTTTATTCGTGTTGCCTCGCCCATCAGACCATCCTTCATTTGTTTAATGCAATTAATATTTGGTGTAGAGTAGGCTACTAATTATAAAACTCCACAATGTGCAATTGTCTCTAAACAATATTAATCGTGACTATACTACCACATTCCAGTAAAACGACCGAAATAGATTATATCTGTGGATAATTCATCGGAGAGAGCATAATACTTGTCATTAATAGCGTGGTGTGCTAGCTGACAAGTTAGCAAAATATTTGTGGCGTTTTGATAGTCCAGAGTTTAAAGAGAACAATACATACTTTATTTATGTGCAGATTGATCAGACCATAACCATAACATAACCTCAATTTCATGCGTAATTATGGTGATTCTTTAGTGCCTGAAAATACAATTAAAATCAAAGGATACATGTATAACGGTTTATAAAAGCAAATCACGTGCACACTATCATGAGTACAGACTCAGAAATTTAACTTGCTGACATAGGCTACTTGTATTAGCAATTACACGTACAGGACCTAGTGGTAGAACAGTAAAAGGAAAAGCTAGCTAATCTTGATTTACATTCTTTGCTTGGAGAAATACAAATTGGAAAGGAATAATAATGCATCATAGAGGCAAAGGAATTTACTAAATATAGATACAATTTATAAGTTACAGATACACGATACAGTATTAATAATCCTGAAATGCCTGCAAGTGCAAATCAGTAATCAATATAATAATCGGGTAATCTCTTCTGGTGCGCTGTTGACATATGTCTTGTACCCCCATAGTGTGTGATTCTGTCACCTGACTGTAGGGTCTGTCAGTGAAATAGGACATAAATTCGTCTTCACCAAAAATGCTTTCACTTAAGGGATGAATCCCAGTTACATTAAACCCTTTTTCAATATTGCATTTGGTGAATGTCTTACCAAATGACATTGTAAATGGTTACAGGTTTGCTTGGGTTTGAGAACATCCAGTCATTAAGGCAAGGATTGTAATATGTTTTATGGACCAAAGACAGCATGACAATCCCATTTTCTTTTGCCACACTGATAGCTCCAATTGATATGTGGATCTCATGTTTACCTAAAACCAATAAAGTTGGATCTTCCTTACAAAGTTTGTCATGTGAAAAAAAATTCTTCACATAGTCAACGAAGAGATTCTCATTTGATCAACCCGCTTGGTTTGCACTTTCAATAGAAGCTGTAGGAGCACCAGTTAATATGTGATCCTTGAAATGCACTCTTGGGAATATTTACATTGAAGGAACATGGTTACCAATTGCACTGACAGCAACAATCATTGTAACATTTATCCTCCTCTCCCCTAAGTCACACTCCCCAGTTGCTTGATTCTCTTGGCACAAATAATTTTGGGGGGGAACATGAACAGTAGAATTGCCAGTCTCATCTAAATTATAGATTTTATTAGCAGTGAACTTGTGTCTTGACAAAAGTTCATTTAAATTTTCAAAAAATGCTTTTACATTCTCATGATTAAAACTTGTAGCTTGAGTGAGACTAGTATCCTTGGGTTTTTCTCAAAGTCAAGGACTTGTGATGTTTCCTCAGTCCCCTCAGCCCCATATTACCAGCAGATTCATTGTTTTCCCAATTCTCTGGCACTACACCATTTGCTATTCCATGTTGAAAAGCAAGTTTGAGAGCTTCCTTATTCATGAAACCATAATGCTTGCAGCTTCTTTTAAATACTCAGGCAATTCAAGTTCCTGTGTGGCACTAAAACCTTTTTTAACATCATTTCTGGCTGTGTACTCAAAAGAGTTTTCATGGTCTTGGAATTTCATCAAATAATGGCTTAGTGTAGTTCTTGAAATTCCAAAATCACATGCTGCTGTCCTTTTGTTCTTGACGTCTTGTGTGGCTCGTTCTATCGCCACAGCATCTACTTTTTGTCTTATTCTACCTAACTTGCTTCATGGCATTCTCCTAGAAATGAAAAACATTTCTTGTTACTGAACTTACTGAACATTATGATTCAATTTCAAATTTAAATAATGTGAATGCATTGTGTTGTACCTTAGGTGATGGTTCAAGGTACAGCAAGAGAGAAAAAGAGATCACAAAACAAAATTCACACTTATTTTAGGTTAAGTCTCAAAATATTTATGTCATATGAAAGAGCATACAAAGTAGATCTTACCCATGCCTTGAACTGTACACTGTATGAAAACATTCTCATACAAGAAACTTCTTGAAAAAACTTTAAATAGTCACAATTTTCAATGCACTGTAGACAGTAAACTTCACACCAAAAAAAGACACTAACGCACACTACTCAGGGTGGACAAATGTTAAATTAGGTTGTAATATTATATATACCTGTCCATAGATGTCAGCACAATACCTAATGTCACGACGTACAATACTTTACCCTGTACAAAATCCACCTTACAGGCCAAATGAGCAAAAGAAATGTTGCAGGTGTAGAGGCCAGAGGACGAATTGTCCATCTTGTTACAATACCATCACTCAAACCAGAAATCATCTGGCCGAACGTTTCGCTGAGAAGTTGCCGTACTCTTGCACGAATCAGAATTTGGGTTGCGAAGAGAAATTCTTGCTGCGAGATCTGCCGTCACACGAGGCAGCGTGTCCTTTCCGATTGTACTACTGCGTTCCTTGCAGACCCCGCTGCAGATGGAGAGGTCGTCGATTTCAGGTAAGGCACAAGATCAGAACTTGTTCAGTATTTCAACTTCGAAGCAAATGGCTTTTCCGAACATAACCTAGTTTTTGTGATTATAACACCGTGATAAGCAATAATAAAATTCCTGATGCTTTCTGCACAGTGTTTAAAAGCATCATTCTGCTTCATCCTACCCAGAAAATGTTGATTTCAGTCCATAGCTTCTCGAAAGTATATTTTACACCGCTTTCCTTTTTATATTTTAATTACATTCTCACATTTATACTTTGGTCTCTCTACAGGCGAATAGCCACAGAACATGAAAAAGGAACGTTGTTTATAAACTTCTCTAGGAATTCCTTTATGTTATGTTTATTTCTTTGATGCTATGAACCGTTTTTGAGAATTTGTCTATGAACATAAATAAATGGATATTTTCAGTGGCAATGATGTCAAGTGGCTGTCTTCTGCCAGATATAAAGAAACAGGATTGACATTTACTGTATATACAGTATTAGTTAAAATGCCCGAAGAGAAGATATAATTTGGGAGATTTGAAATGTGAAAAAATGAACTGGCTTAGGATTGCAACCAGGGACAGGCTTTTTTAACATAGTAATTAACTTTTTAGTTCCACAGAAGGCAGAGAATTCTTTGACCGGCTGTGTGCTTATTAACGTCTCAAGAACAATTCTGCTCTTTGGACTTAGTTTAGCTGTTTGTAATAGTCACTTCACTTTCGATCCAAACAATATTTCTTTTCTTTTTTCCAGTCATTTTGACAGATTTAGGCGAAACTTCATACATGGCACTTCTGTTTTACAGGTATTATATATAGGTTTCAGTCAGTTTGTTTAAGGGCCTACAAATATTTCTGAACGCATGTAGCTGTATATTCACTAGAGGAAAATCAAATTTTTGACAGAAGCTTTAGGAATTTATACAATACATGCTACATGGCAGGTCTCGTACAGCATTAGGCATAAAGGTCATGGAACACGTCCAAAAGGGCCGCACTAAAGTCCGCATTATTCCACAGAACATGTGTTCTGTATTCAATTACATTTACTGAACATAGTACAATCATTATACTATTTCAAATATATAAATGTTAGTAATGACTTCAATTACAATTTTGTATTTTTAGGAAGTCTGCACATTTTGCTAACAAATTGTGTACAAACAATATCTGCAGATCTGCTGCTTAATGCTATGAAATGACTAAAATAATTTAAAGACTTTAACTATCTTCATAGATCTCAGCCTTTCATGAAATCCCCTGCCTTTTATGGAAACCATAGGTTCATTACTCAGAAAAAACTAAGTACATGTTAGTATCTCGTTGTCAGCAGACAGGCGGGCAGAATTATCTTAGGGGGGCTAATAAATCCTTTGAAAGGGTGACAAAGTTAAAATATTTGGGAATGACAATAACAAATCAAAATGATACTCATGAGGAAAGTAGGAGGAGATTAAATTCTGGAAATGCTTGCTACTTCTCAGTTCAAAATATTTTGTCTTCCCATCTGATTTGTAGGAACCTGAAAATTAAAGTATACAAAATAATAATTTTGCCTGTTCTTTTGTATGGGTGCAAAACGTGGTCTCTCACTCAGAGGGAGGAACACAGATTGCAGGTGTTTGAGAACAGGGTGTTGAGGAGGATATTCGGGCCTAGGAGAGAAGATGATGGGGCATGGAGAAAACTGCTTAATGATGAGCTTAAAAATCTGTACTCCTCCCCCAGTATTGTCAGGGTGATTAAGTCGAGAAGAATGAGATGGGCGGGGCATGTAGCGCTCATGAATGGGACAAGAGGTGTGACCGGGTATTGGTTGGGAAGCCTGAGGGGAAGAGACCACTGGGGAGACCTAGACATAAATGGGAGGATAATGCCAGGCAGTATCTATGGGAGATAGGAGTTGAAGGAGACTGGATTTTGTTGGCCCAGGACAGGGTACTGTAGAGGGCTTTGGTTAATTCAGTGACGAACCTTCGGGTTCGGTAAGCCATCTAGTTAGTTGTAGGTTCATTACCATTTTTGCAGGAGCCTGTAACTTGACACTGTCCTGAACTAGATGAATTTACCATCACAGCCTTCTTTATTATCCATTTTAATATTATCCTTCTATCCTAAACTAGGTCTTACAAGTTGTTTCTTCCATCGCAGGTTCTCAAACTGAAGTTTTGTACATATTTCTAATTTCTCACATTTCTCTCCCTATGTGAGAGCTCATGTTGGTGAAGATGTTGATGCTGGTCTTCTCATTTGTAATTCTGCGTGGAATTAAAGGTAGATAACCAACATCATCATGAATTTTTTACCATCCTCCCTTAAACTCTGTTCACTGATGATGAATGATACAGGCGAGATTTCAGGTTTTCATGGCAGTGAGTATAAACACGACTGCTTTCTGGGATGCAGTAGTTTTCCCTCTTTTAGGTTCTGGAACACATGAAAGATGAGCACAAGGAACTGGTGTGGGTGAAGGCATATAACAGCCTCGTGTACGAGAATTTTGATCACAAAACAGACTACACATGCACCCACATCTTGTCATCATACAGAGAAATCTTCTGGTGTCACTCCAAACGTGATGCCAAGCAAGGGAAGTTGTTTGAGTTGGTACAGTATGTGGGACAAAAGGAGAAAGCTGCAAAGTTTGAATATGAATTTGAGTTTTATGCCAAAGGAAACAGCAGAAGAGCTATATTCAGGAATACAGTGCACAGTGAAGATGATGATGTTGAAAAGATTTATGAATCAGGAGATTGCTTAATATTGGATCTTAGTGTGCTTAAATACTTTGTAACTGAGAAGAAGCAGTTGTTTTACAATTTTACAGTAGAAAGAGTTTGGTATAACTGAATTTTGTTGTTAAGAATGTTTTTAGTTTAGTTTGGTTTAGTTCATTCTTCTCGCAGACATGGGAATTCAGTTTTGGATATGTACAATAATGGATTGTTCCTGACAGACTGAGACGAGCATGGCAAATATCAAGAGTAAGCTAGATCATATTATATTGCACATTAAAGTCCTTTTGTATGAATCAGATGTACATATTAGCTTTTTCATGTCAGTCCAGTTTTTGAGTGCACAAATCAAATGTTCTCCCTAAATGTATTAATTATACTTTTAACTGAATGGGTTATGTAATGTCAAACTGCAAGTGTTGCGATAAGGAAGATGCGCTGTATCTTACTTTGAGATATCCACAAATGTGTATAAACAAACCAATAAAAACCACAAAATCCTCTGGTATCTGAGACAAAACTTTAAACAGGGACAGTCTAAGATTAAATTGGAGTTCCAAATGCTCAACTACAATATGTAGTTCAAAATGTACTCCTAAACAATATTTTATGCTAGGAATTAGAGAAAGAAATGTAACAAATAATGAAGTCATCTCACGCAATCAGAAGTTGTTGTTTATGATCAAAGGATGGATTAGTAATTTACAAATTTCCCCAAAATAGGCATATTCTGGTGGAAAGTAGTCATTGAACATTTGAGATAGTGTTTCCAATTTTGTGTAAAGAAGGGTTATAATGCTTCTTAAACTCAAGTCTAATGAGTTTGTGAAGTCAGAGAAAGAATGGAACATTTCACAGTTATTCTCTTGTGTGTACTTTAACCAAAATTTTAAAGTCTTCTTGCAGGCAGCAGTTTCATTATAGAAATTGAAGACTGTTGTAATATTTCCTTGGAGACTGAAATTTAATTCAGGTGAAAATACATCTGATAAAAATGCAAGCTTTACAGCACATTCTTAGCCATAGAAATATTCATCCAAATTTTATTCCTTTGGTTTAAAAATATTTCGACTTTGTGTCATAACTTAATCTTTTCAAAACTCAGCCCTCTCAACAACCAATGCACTTCAGCATGACACAGTGAGTTTGAATGCCCACACAGCATTACAAACATTTGTGAATTCAGTGCATTCTTCTTAATAAAACTGACAATTGTACAGGCTATGTAGTAACTTCATTTAAACATGGGGACAACTCTTTTGTTGCTAAATGTTTGCAATGAATAAAGCAATGTATGTCATTCTGTGTATGGCAACGTCCTTAATCTTCGTTCATATACCAGAAAAGCTCGGTAATCATGCTTGCTACTTCATCTGTATACACTCCAACACAGTATTTCCAAATCACAGATTTAATGAAAATATATTTGTTTATTAGCTTCAATATTTCAACACAGGCTATTTGAGAAGGCATTTCAATGCAACAGAACAATTATTTTTTTCATATTTTTACAATCATTATCAATAACACAAATATAACATAACAGTTAAAATTTATTTGAAATACTAGTTCATGCATCCATCTGAATAGCTAACCATTCTGTCCTTATTACGTTTTGAATTAGCTGATAATCAGTAAGTGATAATTCTTCATCTGTTCTGCATGCAATAAAATAATTAGAAAGAGGAGTAATTTTAATTATTTCCCCCACTGTTGAATATTTAAATTTCAAATAAGCTAGAAGCAATTCAAAAGACAATTAAATATGAAGCCTTCACAAGTGATTCTTCAAACAACAAAACTCTTTTTAATAGAAAACCTTTTCAATTTCATTTCAACAGATTTTTTATTTAAAAATTTTTGGTTTATTTTATAATTTCAAGTATTTTTTTTACAAATTTCAAAAAAGCTTTGTTGGCTTCCTGCTTTAAATTGACAGAACATCACCACACAAAACACTGTGGTATCGGTGAACTATTCTTTTATCCAGACGAAACAATGACTCAGCTTTTAAATAATCAGCATTATACTTTAACCTTTTCAGGTTCTTTTTCACTTTTATTTAAATTCCATACTCAAAGGTTAATAAGATTACCTCATCTCTTTCTTGAGGACATGAACGATTTAGTAGCTTCTTTGAATGATCACTCTGGGAAGGTAATGGATATGTCTTGGAGCCAAAGAACTGTATATCGCCTTTTGGACATTTTCCAAGATATTTTCAGTTTTCGAAAATTTTGGATTTTTTCAAAAATCTACACACCCTGTCTCTGCCGCTACCGGTCTCTACCGGTGAGCGTGAACGGTGGAACGTCTTTCAAAATCCGAAAACTTTTCGAAATTTTGAAAAACTTTCAAAAATTTCAAACAGTTTGTAAATGTCATAAAAACGAAGAAAATTCAGTATTTTCAAAATTATTTTGAAGTTTAAAAATTTCAAATTTTATTAGTTTTGTGCGCTTTTAGACAATTTCTAGTATTTTTCGATTTTTTGAAAATTTTGAAAATTTTCAATCTTTTTCAAAGTTCTCCCCACTTGTTTTCTGCGGCAACCAATCTCTGCCTGACCCGACCTCTCTCGTACCCTGTCTCTGCTTGACTCGGTCTGTACACGAATCGGTCTCTGTATGACTCGGTTTCTGAAGAGCCGTCTCTGCAAAGCCCGTGTCCGGCAGAGAACGATTGAGGCAGAGTCCGTGTGTGCAAGAGATTGAGTCCGGCGGACAGCGATTGAGCACACGAAGACAGACTGCGACAGGGACTGTGGCAGGGACAGACCGGGTGGGGAGAATTTTGAAAAAAATTCAATTTCTCAAAATTATCGAAAAATCAAAAAATTCTGGAAATTGCTTAGTAAGCGCACAAAACTAAAAAACTCGAAATATTTAAAAAAAATGAAGTGGGAAATTTTCAATTTTTTTAGTTTTGTGCGCTTTTTAGATAATTTTCTGCATTTTTCGGTCTTTTGAAGATTTTAAACATTTTTTCAAATCTCTCCCCAAGAATTTTTGGTTTATTTTATAATTTCAAGTATTTTTTTTACAAATTTCAAAAAAGCTTTGTTGGCTTCCTGCTTTAAATTGACAGAACATCACCACACAAAACACTGTGGTATCGGTGAACTATTCTTTTATCCAGACGAAACAATGACTCAGCTTTTAAATAATCAGCATTATACTTTAACCTTTTCAGGTTCTTTTTCACTTTTATTTAAATTCCATACTCAAAGGTTAATAAGATTACCTCATCTCTTTCTTGAGGACATGAACGATTTAGTAGCTTCTTTGAATGATCACTCTGGGAAGGTAATGGATATGTCTTGGAGCCAAAGAACTGTATATCGCCTTTTGGACATTTTCCAAGATATTTTCAGTTTTCGAAAATTTTGGATTTTTTCAAAAATCTACACACCCTGTCTCTGCCGCTACCGGTCTCTACCGGTGAGCGTGAACGGTGGAACGTCTTTCAAAATCCGAAAACTTTTCGAAATTTTGAAAAACTTTCAAAAATTTCAAACAGTTTGTAAATGTCATAAAAACGAAGAAAATTCAGTATTTTCAAAATTATTTTGAAGTTTAAAAATTTCAAATTTTATTAGTTTTGTGCGCTTTTAGACAATTTCTAGTATTTTTCGATTTTTTGAAAATTTTGAAAATTTTCAATCTTTTTCAAAGTTCTCCCCACTTGTTTTCTGCGGCAACCAATCTCTGCCTGACCCGACCTCTCTCGTACCCTGTCTCTGCTTGACTCGGTCTGTACACGAATCGGTCTCTGTATGACTCGGTTTCTGAAGAGCCGTCTCTGCAAAGCCCGTGTCCGGCAGAGAACGATTGAGGCAGAGTCCGTGTGTGCAAGAGATTGAGTCCGGCGGACAGCGATTGAGCACACGAAGACAGACTGAGACAGGGACTGTGGCAGGGACAGACCGGGTGGCGAGAATTTTGAAAAAAATTCAATTTCTCAAAATTATCGAAAAATCAAAAAATTCTGGAAATTGCTTAGTAAGCGCACAAAACTAAAAAACTCGAAATATTTAAAAAAAATGAAGTGGGAAATTTTCAATTTTTTTAGTTTTGTGCGCTTTTTAGATAATTTTCTGCATTTTTCGGTCTTTTGAAGATTTTAAACATTTTTTCAAATCTCTCCCCAAGAGATAACTGCCAGACTCGGTGAATGCCTCACCATCTCTGCCGAACTCGGCCTCTACCTAACCCGGTTGGTGCCTGTCTCGGTGTCTGCAACAGCCGGCCCCTGCAGGACTCGGTCTCTGACTGACCGTGTCTCTGCCGGTCTCGGTCACTGACTCACCTGCTCTCTGCGAGTCTCGGTCCCTGCGTAACCTTTTGTCCGCCGCACCCGTTATGTACAGAGACCAAGTCCGGCACAGACCGCGTTCGTCAGAGAATTTTTCAAGAAGTTCTAAAAAGTTTGAAAATTTTCCAAAAATCAAAAAATGCTGGAAATCGTCCAAAAGGCGCACAAAACAAAAAATTAAAAATTTCGCATTCAATTTTTTTCCAAATATTACAAAATGTTTTGGTTCTGTGCGCTTTTTATACAATTTCCAGCATTTATTGATTTTTATAAAATTTTGAAAAATTTCTAATTTTTTTCAAAACTGTCCCCAAGAGACGACTGCCAGGCTCTGTGAATGCCTCACCCTGTCTCTGCCGGACTGGGCCTCTACCTCACCCGGTTACTGCCTGCCTCGGTATCTGCATCAACTGGACTCTGCTGGACACGGTCTCTGCCGGTCTCGGTCTCTGAATCACGCATTCTCTGCCAGTCTCCGACTCTGCCTTACATGGTTTTGTGCAGAGACCAAGTCAGGCACAGACCGCGTTCGTCAGAGAAACAGTACATCAGAGACAGTCCCACACATTCCAAAAAATCTTCAAATATTTAAAAAAAAAATTGGTTTTGTGCGCTTTTTAGACAATTTCTGGCTTTTTTGGTTTTTCGAAAATTTTAATAAAATATGAACATTTTCTCAAAACTCTCCCCAAGTGATGTTAGATCCCGTCAGCAATTGAATGC